TGCTTGGGTACCCCCATAGCAAGCTGCTTGCTCTGGGGGCACCCAGCAGGAAGGAGGTGCCAGGAGCGTCGGCGGGGAACCCGAGAAAAGGAGGATCGGGGCTGCTTTGTGCAAAACCAGTGCACAGAGCAGGTAAGTATAACATGTTTGTTTGTGTTTTTCTCAAAAGAATTGCCTTTAATATCACTTTAAAGTGTTTGTAAAGGCTCAAGCTTGTTTACCTTCATGTGTTATATGCATTAAGGTAAAAAAAACTTTCTGTACGCAGCCCCCCCTAAAACTTACCTGAGCCCTATCTCGATCCAGCGATCTGCATGAGAGCTTCGGCTCTCCTGGGTCTCACCCTCCTCATTGGCTGAGACAGCAGCAGTAGCCATTGGCTCCCGCTACTGTCAATCATAGCCAATGAGGAGAGAGCAGGGGACAGGGCTAAGCTGCGCTCCCTGTGTGAATGGATACAGAACAGAGGCTTGGGAGTGAGCCTGATCAGGTGCCCCCATAACAAGCTGCTTGCCATGAGGGCAGTAGACAGCAGGGAGGAGCCAGAAGCACCAGCAGGGGACCTCTGTGCAAAACTACTACACAGAGCACGTAAGTATGACATGTTTGTTAGTTAAAAAAAATGTTTAAATCTGCCTTTAATATCACTTTAAGACACAGCCGTTGATAAATCTCATAGATAGCATGAATTGTTTGAGAGCACCCTCTAGTTGCAGTACCAAGGAAAGGCATGATATGCAATGAACTGTTTTAGACTATATTATTTTATTTCAGGTACTTATATAGCGCTGTCAATTTACGCAGTGCTTTACATATATATTGTATATTCACATCAGTCCCTAACCCTCAAGGGGTGTACAATCTAAGGTCCCTAACTCACATTCATACATACACATACTAGGGACAATTTAGACAGGATACAATTAACCTACCAGCATGTCTTTGGGGTGTGGGAGGAAACTGGAGGAAACCCACATGGGCACAGGGAGAACATGCAAACTCCAAGCAAGTGGTGCTGTGGTTGGGATTCGAGCCAACGATGCTGGTGCTGCCAGGCGGAGGCGCTAACCATTTAGCGACTGTGCTGCCTAATACCGGCAGCTGCAACCACCCACACAGAGAAATGCGGGACCAGTGAACAGGTGCCATTAATCCTGAAGGCACGCCGCCGGCATTGGAAGTTGCACTATTACTGGGAACCTCAATTTCCATGCGGACTGTGATTTAAAAAATAATGCAGGGACTTCTTTCCTGCGTGTCCAGGGGGCAGCCCATTCAAATGAATGTTTCCTTGCTCCTACTGGCAGATAAACCTGGGGTGGCAGTGAGGTTTATTTCCACTTATGGGTACAGCTCATCCCTGCCTGAACTAACCTTTTAAAATGAATAACCAAAACAAACTTTTAAATAACTACCAAACACAAGAAACTCATTCACCAAAACTTATGCCAAATGTAACCAGTCCATTAAAGCATTTAATCACACTGCCCACCCACAAATGTGGACGACAATACCCCCAGCAAAGGAAAGCCGCAACTAGGGGAGGGAGGGCAGGACAGCTCAGCTTGATTAAAGATCCTGACAGAAGCCTCACAAGTGAAATATAAAAGGCGAGTCAGATCTATGATTGGTTTCCAGGTTTGTCCTCCAAAGGTCCAGGGCTAATCCGAGCTGATAGGAGACTGACAGTTACCTGGTGACAGCTGATAGTAAAATCCCTGCCTTGAGAAAAGTATAAAAGGGAGACCTGAAGCAGACAGAAGAGAGCCAGAAACTGCCAAAAAATTCTCTAGCAACTGACTTAGGGCTGGTTCACTCCATAGAAACGCAGTTCGGATACATTTCTGCATGTGCGTTTTATATGCGTTACAGTGCATTTTTTATACTTTTTTTCTTCGCTTTAAATAAGGACATAAGTGTTCCGGTGAGTTTAGGTGCATTCTGGTGCATTTTACTGCATTCCAGTACAGAACAAAATTGCAGCTACTGTGCTACTTTTGTTTATGAAACTGAAAGCACGCTGTGTGAACTATGCCATTGGAAACCAAATATCTTACTATCCATGCATTTTTGATACAAAAAAAATTCGCTGGACTGCATGTGGTGTGAACTGGCCCTTAAAGTGGAGCTAATGCCATTAATTTAAACACATTTCCAGCATTCCAGGTATAATAACTGTCACATTTGCTTGAGCTCTCAACCAAACTGTCAAGCCATCAAAAGACAGGTATCATAACTGATCATATGTGCAACACCATGGCAGTTGCAGATCAAACAGGGGCCAAGATGGCAGCTTCCTTGGCTGAAAAGGAGAGGAGGATTTAGTTCCACTTTAATTTACCTCAAGTTAAAAGAGATTAAATCATACTTACCTAGATGGATGCAGCATCGATCTGAAGCTGGTTCTGTCCCCTGCTGGCTCTTAGACTGAGAACTGAGTGATCAGACAATGCTGATCGCTCAGTTCTCCCTGCTGCTCTGAGCACAGAGTAGTGGCTGTCAATGGGCTGTGGAGGGGGTGGTTGCAGCTGGCTCAGGCTCTCAGCGATATGCTGTGAGGCTGAGTCAGGTGCTGGTCCAGGCTCATAGGTGGATCCTGATAAATACGGTTGCAATCTTTCCCCAGCCTGGACCGGTTGAGTGACATTGGCTGACAGTGGGCTGCTGTCAGCTGAAAATGGGTCACAGAAGTCCACTAACCAAGATGGCTGCTGGACCTCACGTGCGGCTCCGGCGGTGTGATGTCACCGCGTAAAGGCTCCTCCTTAATGCGTTTCGTGCTATAGCACGTTATCAAAAGGGGTGCGCACGTGAGGTCCGGTGGCCATCTTGGTTAGTGGCTGTTACAGCCATTTATATCTGCCTTTATATATATCCATTTTAGACGTTTTTTATGTGATTACTACATGGTTTTATTCTATATCAGAGGCTTCTTTTGTCTGCTTTTAATGAGGAGTATTAATACATTTTTTGAGTATACAAAATACTACACTATGATTTTTTTTATATACATGGCTTGGCTTTGAGCCATCTGCTCGGTGAGACCCCCAATGGAAGAGGAGCTGTACTAGAGGCTGGTGTCCAGACAGAGGATCCATACTCCTGACAGGCTGACTGATCTACTCTAAAGGGGACCCCGCAGAGAGCTTATATTCAATGCACTTTTTCCTTGTGCATCTGGTGAGTGCGCAATTTATACAATTGGAGCATGGAGTCACTTTTAAGAATTATAGAGGAGCATTCACTTCCCGCTGACTATTGCAAGTAAAGCTTTCACTTATATGCACTTAAAGAGACTTCATTTTATTAGGTGCAATGTGCCACCATATGCATATGATATGTGATTTTGATTAATACTGTAGCGCTGCACCTATTTTTATTTATTTACTGACATTTACCAGGTCCTGGATATCCTTGGTTGGTGCAATTGCAGCTGGACATTTTATGTTTTTATTGCTATTTTTAATTGTAATTTTATAGTTTAATTTACTTTATTTTATGATTCTGAGCACTTGCTATTTACACATTTTTATGTCTTTATGGACCTTGATTTGTGCACTCGAGCCCAGTCATGTTGGAACAGGAAGGGGTCATCCCCAAACTGTTACCACAAAGTTGGGAGCATGAAATTGTCTAAAATGTCTTGGTATGCCGATGCCTTAAGAGTTCCCTTCACTGGAACTAAGGGGCCAAGCCCAACCCCTGAAAGACAACCCCACACCATAATCCCCCCTCCACCAAACCTTACACTTGGCACAATGCAGTCAGGCAAGTACTGTTCTTCTGGCAATCATCAAACTCAGACATGTCCATCGGATTGCCAGACAGAGAAATGTGATACGTCATTCCAGAGAACACATCTCTACTGCTCTAGAGTCCAATGGCAGCGTGCTTTACAGCACTGCATCCGACACTTTGCATTGCACTTGGTGATGTAAGGCTTGGATGCAGCTGCTCGGCCATGGAAACCCATTCCATGAAGCTCTCTACGCACTGTTGTTGTGCTAATCTGAAGGCCTCATGAAGTTTGGAGGTCTTTAGCTATTGACTCTGTAGACAGTTGGCGACTTCTGCACACTGTGCTCTTCAGCATGTGCTGACCCCGCTCTATCATTTTACATGACCTACCACATCTTGGCTGAGTTACTGTTGTTCCCAGTTGCTTCCACTTTGTTATAATACCACTAACAGTTGACCATGGAATATTTAGTTGCAAGATAATTTCACGGATGGACTTATTGCACAGATGGCAATCTATCACGGTACCATGCTTGAATTCACTGAGCTCCTGAGAATGACCCATTCTTTCACAGATGTTTGTAGAAGCAGTCTGCATGCCTAGGTGCTTGATTGTATACACCTGTGGCCATGGAGGTGATTGGAACACCTGAATCCAATGATTTGGAGGGGGGCCCAATACTTTCAGCAGTATAGTGTACGTAAACAGGCCTAATTGGAAATAATGCTTTTGACATTAAATGTGAATCTCTGTTTTCTGAACACATCTGATCCCACATGGAATTCACAGCAGTGTGAACCAGCACTCAGTGCTTGAGGTGTTAGAACTGCGTTCCCCCACGTTACCACTGAAAAAAAGCCGTTTTACCGAAATATTGTTTCCTTTTTTGTAGCACTTTTTATTATATTTATGGTTGTCAACAAAAAGTGCTGCCATGAGTTTTTCCATGTTTCCTCATTTAAAAAAATGCCAGGAGTTTGTAACCCTGGTGGAGGGCAGCGCTGTGTAGTGACTAGCCTACACTCAGTCATGCTGCACTGCAGCTTCTGGATAGTATTGGAAACAAGCACAGGCCTTGAATTAGATCGTATAACAATAAGCACGCACTAGCGCCCCCTTTCTGCCTGGCTGTTCTCCCCAGTCCGGCGGCCCATTCTAGGAAGAGGCTCTGTCCAGCTGCTCTGCTCTTCTTGGCGCTGAATGTTGACGTCACGTACTGTCACTTTCCGTGTGTCCTTCACTGGCAGGCGTCCGAGCAGACATGGCAACCTCTAGTCGGCAGCTCATCGCACGTTGCATGTCCAGCAGCACTGCCGCCAAAAAGCTGGTCATCAAACATGTCACCGTGATCGGGGGCGGCCTGATGGGCTCCGGGATAGCTCAGGTGAGATCGCCCGCTCTTGGACAGCTGTCATAGGCAGCGCTGTGTGCAGAATGGCAGCCTATGCAGGGATAAGTATTCTTGGAGAGAGCTGGGTATTCACAAATACATTGCAGATCAGGAGTGCCTGCAAGTTCGTTTTTTCAGACATTTCTGAACCAGATGTCTGCATTACAGCATAGACATGAAATAAAAACTGATCTGGATGATGGAGTGATGTCCTCATGTCTGTGGATCTCATTCATAGGCAGTGATTGCACTGGGAACAATTCATTGTAAATAAATGTTGGGTGCTTTTCTTGTATTTCCTCCACGTTATTGACTAATCGTGGCCATGCATGCTTCAATTTTATTGTCTGATCGATGTGTAATTAGAATGGATCAGAATGATCGAATCTGTAAACAAATGAATGGCCATAACGTCCCTTCTGATCAGTTTAGACTTGATTTGAGTAAAACTAAGACAGACAGCATAGATAATTATTGATTGTTTGGCATCAAATGGCTACACTGTGATATTTTGTTCATAAATACATTCAGATTTTGATCAGATTTTGGGATATGGTTAGTAACTTGCAAGAATATAACTTAAAGTGATATTAAAGGCATTGTTTTAATAACAAACATGTCATATGTACCTGCTCTGTACAGTGTTTTTGCACAGAACAGTCCTGATCCTCCTCTTCTTGGGTCCCCCACTGACTCTTCTGGCCCCTTCCTCCTGCCAAGTGCCCCCATAACAAGCAGCTTGCTATGGGGGCACCCAAGCAGACTCCCATGCCGCTGCTCTGCATGTCCATTCTTACACAGCATGGCTTGGCCATGACCTTCTCTCTTTTCAATGCCTCACGGGCTGTGAGGAGGGAGAGTCCATGGAGAGCCAAGGCTCTCATGCATATCGCTGGATTGTGTGGGGCTCAGGTAAGTATTGGCTGCACACAGGTTTTTTTACAAGAAGGTAAAAAATAGAGCTTTTGTAACAACTTTAAAGTAGAACTATTTATAGTGAATACTTGTGAGCTATTATGAATCGAGGTGTTCAATAAACAACATATAATGAAATCTTTAAGTGTATGGGGTGCGCTGGCACTTACACTGACTCACTTAGCTAGTGTGTATGAATGATAAAGAAAGAATAGCGCCGCGCTCCTATATATTTGTATATACAACTTATACTACTCAAGTGTATCAATATCAATAATTGTGAATTGTGACTATATCACTAAACGCATATACAAATGTACATATAAATGACATGCATATTGAATAATCCTAAAGTGATAGTGCCTTAATGGGTGCCATGGTGAGAACCCATGTTGCACCTCTATAATGCTGTGTACACTCTATACTGTTAATGCAAAAACATATACATATGTGCACGTGCTCATAATAGACAAATAAAAATAAAAGTCCATCAAAATTAATGTGCAAGTGAATATTCTGTTCCTTCTTTCCGAGTGCTAGATGGTCTCCCTATATGCTCACCTCTATATTTGCCTGAATGAATCCAGGCAAATACGCTTTTTATCCTTCCAGGATAGATGAAATGGGATGATGCCCTTGCTCTAGCCGTCCCAGAAGGTGGATATGCATATAGATGGATCCTCCTGTTATTTCCTTTGTCTCCCTGTGTATCAATGAGTACACTGACCAGCTCTCTTGGGATCTCCCAATTCCCCTCCTGGGGTTGCTTCCTCGTTCACTCCTCCTTACGCCAGCTCATGGGATGTTTCATCAAAAAGAAAAAGCAGACCATAGTGTCTTATCCTTGTACAAAAATGGATTTATTTCTGCCCATATACGGTATTGCTCGATGGCATACAGCTCATGTGTGATCCCAGCAAGCATGGATGACAATCAACAGGTATAAAGAAATCACTCTGCAGCTGCCCCTGCAGTGCTATCTGCCTGCGCTTGTGCTCGGATCTACTCGCTTTTCCAGTACAATGTCGTGACGTCAGAGCCCCTCCCCTACGCGTTGTGTCACAGGGTCACGTGACTTCATCAGGGGGAATTTGATTGGATCCAATCAAATTCCCCTTGATGAAGTCACGTGACCCTGTGACTTCATGAAGTATGAACAAAGCCTATCCCTATATAGTGTGTACTTATCTCTATGCAGAACACAGAGTGTCATTTCTGTCTGCTGCCTCATTCCTCTTCTGTCTGCATGAGTCACGTCTGACCAGTTTTACTAACACCAAAAGAATCAGCTGGTGGGTCACTACTGAGCGGGGATCAACAGAGCTGGTCGGTCACTACTGAGTGGAGGGAATCAGCAGAGCTGGTGGGTCACTACTGAGTGGGGGGGGGGGGGGGGATCAGCAGAGCTGGTGGGTCACTACTGAGTGGGGGGGGGGGGAATCAGCAGAGCTGGTGGGTCACTACTGAGCGGGGGGGGGGGGGATCAGCAGAGCTGGTGGGTCACTACTGAGCACTAGGGGGGGGGGGGGGGGGGGGGGGATCAGCAGAGCTGGTGGGTCACTACTGAGCGGGGGGGGGGGGGATCAGCAGAGCTGGTGGGTCACTACTGAGCGGGGGGGGGGGGGATAAGCAGAGAGCTGGTGGGTCGCTACTGAGCGGGGGGGGGGGGGGATCAGCAGAGCTGGTGGGTCGCTACTGAGCGGGGGGGGGGGGGACCAGCAGAGCTGGGGATTGCTAATGAGTGGGGGGATCAGCAGGCAGAGCTGGGGGTTGCTACTGAGCAGGCAGATCAGCAGAACTGTGGGGGTTGTCATTGAGCGGGGGGATCAGCAGAGCTTGGTGGGGGTTGCTACTGAGCAGGGGGGGTGAGCACAGCCGGGGGTTGCTACTGAGCGGGGGGAAAAGAGCAGAGCTTGGGGTTGCTACTGAGCAGGGGGATGAGCAGAGCTTGGGGTTGCTACTGAGCAGGGGGGGGGGGGTGAGAGCAGAGCTTGGGGTTGCTACTGAGCAGGGGGGGATGAGCAGAGCTTGGGGTTGCTATTGAGCATGGGGGGATGAGCAGAGCTTGGGGTTGCTACTGAGCAGGGGGGGATGAGCAGAGCTTGGGGTTGCTACTGAGCAGGGGGGGATGAGCAGAGCTAGGGGTTTCTATTGCATGGAAGGGGGGGGGGGTGAGCAGAGCTGGGGGTTACTACTGAGCGGGGGATCAGCAGAGCTGGGGGTTGCTACTGAGTGGGGGGATAAGCAGAGCTGGTGGGGTTTGCTACTAAGCGGGGGCGGTGAGCACAGCTGGGGGTTGAACTGAGCGGGGTGGGGGGATGAGCAGATTGGGGTTTGCTACTGAGCGGGGGGATCTGCTGAATGAGGGTACTAATGAGTTGGGGATCTGCTAAGAAGGGGGTACAATTGAGCAGGCGTCCTACTGGACCCTTTTAAAACAAGTAGAAAATCATCACACACACAGGACATCTGCCAAGCTTCATTAAAGCTTCAAAAAACCACTAGAGCATCAAAGAATCTTGTTGAAGCGGTAGGTGCTTTAAAGGATAAGTTCACCTTTGGGAACATGTTACACGTTCCACCTGTTTTTAGGGAGGAACATGTAACATGTTCGCATGCTATCTGTCACATTCGACAACAGCGCAGCCGTTTGTCAAGGAGGAATAGTTTTGTCAAGGAGGACTCTACCTTGGCTCGTGTCAGATACCCTACACCTCAGAGTTCTCCTTCCGAGAAGTCCACCCCAAGCAGTCTCTATGGTGGTGGAGAACAGAGGCACATCTCTCCAAACGGCTAGAGTGGATCTGGCCGCTTTCCTGCAGGATAATGACCGATGCCTCCTCATGGGGTTGAGGGGGGGGGGGGCACACATACAAGAAGGGTTGACTCAGGGACAGCGGTCAAGGGATGAGGCCAGGTATTCCTCAAACCAAAGGGAACTCTTGGCTGTGGAAAAGGCAATGATCAGATTTCAGGAGCAATTGAAGGCTCATCATTTGCAAATCCTCATAGACAACAGTATGACAGTGCTATTATATCAAAAAGTAGGGAGGAACCAGATGTCTGCGACTGGAATCAAATTGGAATGGAGAATGAATAAATGGCAGATGAAAGTCCTCTGGCCGTACAGAGGTTAATGTTTAGTTCAGTCTGTGATAACCTTGAATTTTGCTTCCTACATTTGTCCTTCTGGCTTACCTTTGGACTGCATTAAGTGCTGATAATGCTTTAGTGGTCAATCTGTTTTACTGCATATTCTATGTTGGAAGAGCTCACTCTTATGAATTAAGAAAGCTTTCACATAGAATGTTTTAAACCTCTTTTCATGCACCATTAAGTAAAAAAGCAAACAAAATCATTGAATCTTGCTACCCTTACATGTACTGTTGCAAGTACAATGGGTTGTTTTTGATCTAATCTCTTCTTAACAACCACGTAGATGGGGTGAAAGCAAGTCCTGATGTACATTGAGGCTCAGTTCACACTACTGCGACCTGAAAGTCACACGACTTACAGGAAGACTTTGTCAGGCGACTTGAGTACGACTTGATACGCAACTTTGTCAAGGGACTTTTCTTTTTTTTTTTTTTGACCAATTGGAAAATGTCAGTGTTTTTTTTTGGGTAAATTTTGTTTCATTTATTGAATTCCTAATGAAATCCTAAATTTCAGAATTAATGGAATTCAAATTCTGTGTAAAGAATAGCTGGTTACTAAGGAGGGGGCTGGGAATCTGGCTGCTGTGTCCTTAACCGATGGTTCCCCACTGACAGCTGAATGTAAGCAAAAGAATGGCCGAAATAAAAAAAATAAAAAAATGTGTGGGAGTCCCCCCCCCAAAATACATACCAGACCCTTATCTGAGCATGCAGCCTGGCAGGTCAGGAAAGGAAGGGGGGGGGGGGGGGGTGAGCAAGTACCCTCCCCTCCTGAACCGTACCAGGCCCCACATGCCCTCAACATGGGGGGTGCTTTGGGGTAGGGGAGGGCCCCCCTAGAGTGCATCATGTCCCCATTTCCTCATGTTGATGGGGACAAGGGCCTCTTCCCCACACCCCTGGGCTGTGGTTGTGGGGGTCTACAGGTGATTTAGCGGAATCTGAAAGCCCCCTTTGACAAAGGGGCCCCCAGATCCCAGCCTCCCCATGTGAATTAGTAGGGGTACATAGTACCCCTACTCATTCGCCAAAAAAGTGTAAAATTTGAATAAAAACACAACAACAATTTTTGACAAGTCCTTTATGAAAAAAACAAAATGTCCCCCAAAGTAGATCCAATGTCAATCAAGATGAACGCTGCCTCTGACCTGGAAAAAAAAAAACAAGATCTCCGCTCCTGACGCTGGCTCTTTGGGCTAGCCATTCAAACATTCATGTTTAGGACCCTCCTCAATGTGTGAAAACATTTGAATTGGACATATCTAACTGTACCCTGTTTCTGGCGGCCTTTAGAAAGTAGCGAGTTGTTTGCGCTCATTAAAGTGGAGTTACACCCAAAAGGGGAAGCTCTCCTTGGCTGATTTTGACAGGTACCCCCTCCCAGGTTCAGCCCCCCTCACCCAGAAGACTGCCAGACCATTCGGGAAGCGTAGTGCGACTCCTGTATACACAGTGGGCACCCGGCTGTGAAGCCACTAGCTGTCACAGCCTGGTGCCCACAGTTGAGATGCCGGCGCCAGGGGGAAAAGAGGGAAAGAAGGGATGGTGCAGATGAGCACATCACTGGATCCTGGGACAGGTGAATGTGTGTTTATGAAAAGTCAGCAGGTACAGTTTTTGTAGCTGCTGACCTTTTCAATAAACACAAAAATGACTGGAACTCCGCTTTAAGCGCCAAATGAGGAAAAGAGAAGCAGTCAAAATAGATTTGTGCTGCAATGCAAGGAGCATTCTGATTGGAGGAAAGTGACAGAGAAATGAGCTTATCAGTCTTCTGCTTCTTCACGTCACTGTCCAGTCAAAAGGTTGGGTGAAGAGGAGACCTGCATATGGGACTGAACTGCACCAGAGAAAAATCAGATTTCTTGCCCTGCCAGACAGGAACCATGTGATGAGGCAAAGTTGTGAAATGTAAGAACTGGGGTGACAGAAATTCTTTAGCAGGTAAAACAACTTTTCTGTATTTGGATGTTTGCCTGAAGTTCTGGTTTAGGCAGGCAATCCACTAAAAGATCAGGTCCGCTGGAGCACTTTTTGCTCAAGGACAGACATTCTGATTGTAAATGATTTGCCTTGCATGTGTATGGTGAGATCTTGCAAATCTAAAGATACAGCATCATGGTGAAATTTACTGGATTATATATAGAGACAGTTGTACAGTGACTCCATATAGTATATATTGCAACATTTCAGCACTGATAATGCTGCATCAGTGTATAAAAATGCTGTTCAGTATTTGAGTGATTATCCTGTATTCAACTTGTATCTTCATTTTAGCTACCTGCACATATTATTATTATTATTATTATTATTATTATTATTATACAGGATTTATATAGAGCCAACAGTTTGCTCAGCGCTTTACAATATAACGGGAGACAATACAGCAACAATACAGTTCAATACAAGAGGGTTAGGAGGGCCCTGCTCCTTGGAGCTTACAATCTAAATATGTGTCAGTGCCTAAAAATGGAGAGCAACTGAGCATGTGCAGAGTAGGGTAAGAGTGTATTACTAGATCTTAAACAGTGTAGGCATTTTTAATGTTTTACATAGCTATACCTGCAAAATGGGCCAGCCTGAAGTGATCTAGCAGGACTTCATTTTTCTGACTAAAGATCCACTTTAACATCTTCCTGACCACGCTATAGCTGAATGACGGCTACAGTGTAGTCGTCCAGTACTGGGAGAGCATCATATGACTCCCTCCCAGAACGCACCCCCTGTGGCACACACCCTGTGTTTGTCTGTGATCGCTGTGTCCTTTGGACACAGCTGATCACATGACTCTGTAAAGGACCAATCACAGCGGCCTTTTATCACGTGATCAGCTGTGTCCAATCACAGCTGATCACCATGTAAATACACTTGCTGGTTATCGGCAATACTTTTCTCACGCTGTCACAGTACCTCCTCATCAATGTCCACCAGTGCCACCTCATCAATGCACGGGGGGGGGGGGCCGCCCCCCCGCCCCCCAGTGGTGAAGGAGAAAAAAAAATTACCGTTTGCAAAATTTTATAATAGAAACAAAGAAAAATTTTTTTTTTTTTTTTTTTCAGTCTTTGTTCATCTATAGTGCAAAATATAAAACACCCAGTGGTGATTAAATACCACCAAAAGCTCTATTTGTGTGAAAATATGATAAAAATTGAATCTGGGTACAGTGCTGCATGACCACGCAATTGTCAGTGTGACAGCGCAGAAAGCTGAAAATTTGCCATGAGTGTAATTATTGCCATGAGTGTAATTATCGCTGTAATAAGTTCTAATCATGAATTAAAAAATGTTTTTTAAAATTGTGCTGCAAACCAACATCTCCAACTAGAGTAAAGAATACAGAGATGTACTCTAGAGTGCCTGTGTATTGGGGGGTACAGTACAGCGCAGGGATGCATGTCTTATAATGTGTTTTTTCACTGTGTTTTCTACAGGTGGCTGCAGTAACAGGACACACCGTAGTATTAGTAGACCAGACTGATGAAATTTTGAAAAAGTCATCTAAAAATATAGAGGAGAGCTTGAAGAGGGTCGCCAAGAAGAAGTTTGCAGAACAGCCTGAGGTGACATTCTGGTATTTTCATGCTATTGAACTACTTGACATGGCATGAAGAGGAAACAGGAAAGGTTTCTTCAGAGAAGCCAGAGGCTAAATACTAGCTATTGGATCATTGCAGTTAAACTGGAAAGCTGACTCCATACAATGACAAGTGTTACTAAATCCATTACCCTGCATCACTGTATCTGGTCCCCCACAGTACACAGAACATGAAAATGCAATTATTTTGGAAAATATAAGCTGCTAAATACCTTTTCTCATCAGCAGTATATAGCAGTCTTGTGACTTTTTATCAGTATTCAGCAGAGCATTAGTTTAACCTCCCTGGTGGTATTCCCGAGTGTAGCTCGGGGAAAGTTTCAGTACCACAAGCGGTAACCCCGAGCTACACTCGGGCTTACCATGCGGCACTGCTCCTGGATCTCTTCTTGACTTACCTTGTCCTTCGCTCCTACGATGTCCCCCCTGCATGTCTACTGCAATGACCTTCAGCCGATGCCAGCATCTGTCTTCCGGGTTCCGTTCCCTGCGACGTCGGGACGTACGGGGACGGAACTGGCGGGAAATTTGAAAAATGTATAAGTGACATTCACTAAGTACACTAAAATCACATAGTAAAACATTACTGTATCAAACCATTTCACATACATTTTGTCCCGAGTGCTTTGTCCTGTGCCCTGCCTGCATTTTTACTGTTCTTTCTGCCTGGAAACTGAGAAACGTCCATGGTGTCCAAAAAGCATATCTTTAGGTCAAAAGCGGGTTTAGACCAGCTAGAGAACAGCGATCGTAAATCAGAACCACAGAATTGAGTGATAATGATTTCTGGGGAAATTCGTCATCAGACACTGAAAACAATTTTGCGACTTTGCTCAGTGATGTGCGAACTTGGCGCTATATTTCAAATTCAGTGTTTTTGGTTTGATTATATTATTGAATTAAATTTATTATTATTATATTATAATTTTTTATGATTATTTATTAAATTGTAATTTATGATTTCGTGTTTCAAATTTTAACATACCCGGAATGTTTACTAGACTCTTGTTTGGACAGATTTCAGTGAGTTATTCCTAAAAATTACAGGCCTACAATAAAACAATGACCTATTTCCATGCAAAAAAATGTACCGCTTTGAGCACAGAAATATGAACATAATCAGAGGTTAAAGCTTGTAGGAGGAGTATTTCATTCTCCTCTGATTGTCCTGTAAGGCTGTAGGACCCCTGACCTTCTGTCTGGACAGTGCTGATTGGCCCTGTGCTGATCACATGCACCCTCCCAAGGAAAAAAAAAAAACTCTAGCAATACACACCAAACCGAGAATGTGCAGTTTGCCCCCAAGTCTCTGTTCTATCAGAAAATGAATTGGTAACAGTAGAAGAAGGGGAGGCTCAGAGAAGATGGGATCAAACCTTTTTACACAATACATAGGATTAATCCTTGGGCTCCACAGTGAGTATAACAAGCATGCTTTACTGCATATACAGACTGAACTGATTTTCCTGTTGTGGGTTTAGTAACACATTTTTGCTTTCAATAGAGCATTAAAATCTGTGATTGTTGTTTGTAACTAGATTTCCCCCCCCCCCCCCCCCCCCGGCTTTCGTTTTGCAGGCATCCTCTCAGTTCCTTCAGAAAACATTATCAAACCTAAGCACAAGCACAGACGCTGCAGCAGTAGTGCACAGCACTGATCTGGTCATAGAGGCAATTGTAGAAAACTTGGAAGTGAAACATGAACTCTTCAAGAGACTGGATAAATTTGCTCCAGAGTAAGTCGCCAGAAGTTTAATAAGGCATTGTAAAAATACAGGTTTAAAATCTTTGTAATAAATGGTGCAACTTAATTATTCTTATGCTGATGATACATGGCTCGAATTATGGCCGATTCCTGCTGTATCAGATGAAATTCGAGCCGTGGGTGATGACATGACCTGGCTCAGATGGAGTCACTGTTCAGGTATTCTGACAGCCATGGGAGCAGCAGTATCAGAGTATAATAGACAGCAGGGGAGGTTCCTCCATCCTTACTGTTTAGTATGGGTGGGGGAATCTGTTGACTTCAACCTGTAGGGGTGAGTAAGAGAAATCTTATTGTGTATGGCTAGCTTTATAGTTTTTCAAAGCACTGCAGAATGATGCTGCATTTATATGGCTCTAGGTTGTTCATAAGGGACCCTATGGTATACCACCATACTAAACAATATGGTTGCATAAATTGAATTTATTGGCTTTGCGGAGCTCACACAGCCTTTTTTGACCACCATTATTAACCGCTTTCCCAGAGCCCTATAGCAGAAATACAGGGCGGCAGGGATGTGCAAAATCACATATATATACATTTCCGCGCAGGGGGCACGTGCGAGCGGCGCACGCACCCTACCTGCTCCGCCATTGGCGGTCTAGGCTGTCAATCAATGAGTCCCGGACAGTGATTCCCCGCCTTCCAGTATCACTGACAGGGAGAGACCTGTATGTAAACACTACAGATATCTCCCCTGTCAGCTCCTGCACATTGCTCTGCAGAGCCATACAAAGCAGTGTGCTTACAGTGTAAAACACACACACAGCACACAATAAAACAGCACACAGTTAACCCTTTGTTTGCTCCCGATTTTAACCTCTTCATGCCCCATGTCAGTGCTTTTTATTAGCACTGATTAATGTATTGGTGTCACTGGGGATGTCAGTGACACCAAGTCCGTTCTCCCCAGCGTCAGAATGCCCGCCGCAGTCCTGCTATAAGTCGCTGATCGCCGCCATTATTAGTAAAAAGAAAAATTTCATTATATATACAGCCATTTGTAGACGCTATAACTTTCACGTAAACCAATTAATTTACACGTATTGGGATTTTCTTTTAGCAAAGACGTAGAAGAATTCATTTTTTAGCCTAAATTTATGATGAAATTAGAATTTTTTATTTTTTTTTTTCTGGACATGTTTAATAGCAAAAAGTCCAAAATATTGTTTTTTTTTTCTAAAAATTGTTGGTCTTTTTTCTTTTTATAGCGCAAAACATAAAAAACCGCACAGACAGTCAAAGAAAGCTCTATTTCTGGGAAATAAAAGACGTAAAGTTCATTTGGGTGTAGCGTTGCATGAGCGCGCAATTGTCATATTGCAAAAAATGGCCTGGTGAGGAAGGGGGGTAAATCCACTGGAGGGCAAGTGGGTTAAAACAAGCAGGCTGAGTGGTGCACAATATATAGATATTTCCTCAGGAGGGTATGTTACTTAAAACTCATGCTAAAGGTTTTTCCAGGCTTGCAGAACATGAGCACCAATGCAGTACGGTCTCATTTTTGGGGGAATTTGTTTTATCATCTTGATGTCCAGGTGCAGCAGATAACAGGGTGAGCTGTAACACCCACACAATGGCGTACATATTCCTCCATGTGTGGCAGAGCTTTCTTTTGCAAACTAATGGAGTAAAACCAAAAGCATGTAGAGGGAGCATGTGTGCCCCATACAAGATGAAGCAGGATTTCCCCTGGGGATGCAGTGTGTGTTGAGCTGTCATTTAGCTTGTACGCTTCTTTTTCCTTTTTTTTAGTTTTTCCTTTTAAAGGCAACACTTTGCTCATTATACCTGTCTGTACTTTTGAGTTCCTCAGTAGTTCAGTATTATAGACAGACACAGGGGTGTGGAAATTTTTGAAAAAACTACTTGTCCAGGGACTAAAATCGGGGCCCCAATCTACTTGTCCCTCATGACAATCTACTTGTCCTGATGAAGAAAAAAAAATGTTTTTATCCAAAACCGTGTTTAACCACTTCAAATCCAGACACTTTTACCCCCTTCCTGTCCAGGCCAATTTTCAGCTTTCAGTGCTATCACACTTTGAATGACAATTGCGTGGTCATGCAACACTGTACCCATATGAAATTTTTTGCATTTTTTTTGAGACAGATAAAGCTTTATTTTGGTGGTATTTATTCACCACTGGGATTTAAATTTTTTTTGCTATGTAAATGAACATGTCCAAAAATTTTGAATAAAGTGTTTTTCCTATAAAATGTTGCAAATAAATAATATTTCATCATAAACCTTGGCCAAAATGTATTCCGTTATCTTTTTAGTAAAAAAAAAAAAAAAAAATAACCTAAATTGGTTTATAACCAAAAATTATAATTTTTAAACATTTTTTTTTTACATTTTTATTTGTTTTTTTTTTTTTTTTTCATAATGTCACCGTAGCAGTACAGTGTCACCATGGTGACTCTGTACTACTTGTGGGGGGTGATGAAGATTTTTTTTTTTTAACACTGATTGCTTTTAAATCCTTAAAGGCTGTAAAACCAATAATTTCTCCTTCTCATTTCTCATTCTTGCAGCCATTGAGAACTACTGTGTGAGCTGTGATTGGTCACAGCTTGTCACATGGTACAAGACTGTTGTGAATGGCCCTGTACCATGTGATCTCTGTGATCATTCACAGATTTCACACGTAGTAAGTAATGATGTCAGAAGTGACATCTCGCTTATTACTCTGCATGTGATCACTGATTGGCCAATCAGTGATCGGGACCTCGCAGAGAGGTTCCGTCTGACGATCGGTTTTCCACTGTGTCTGGAGGACACAGCGGGCACCGGATCGTGGTGCTGCGTGCTCCCAGAGAACACGTACAAGCAGGGGGCGGGGAGGCCATTTATAAAATGGCCACCCAACCCTGCACTGCCACCTTCCGGCCGTTTATATACAACGGCCGGATGGGAGATAGTTAAATAGGAAGTGATTTTAGGAATGTCTGGGGCTTTTAAAAACAAGAGAGGCTTTATTGTGACTTAAACAGCGCAATGTTAAAATTATCAAACGTTTATCTCCTCCTTCCGTCCCTGCCTCTCTCCAGCACTGCACACGGGGACTAGCAGGGAGGGGGGAGACCTTGCAGTGTGATGAACAATGATTGGCTGCTCCTCCAGAAAGGGTGGGTCAGGGCTTATACTTTATCCCTTTCGCTGCCAGAGCCGGTTTTGTGTTTTTCGCTGCCAGAGCCATTTTTGCGTTTTTTTGCACACGTTTAAAAAATCATTGTAGGCCTGAAGATTACATAAAACCCCCAAACATTATATATTTTCTGAAAGCAGGGACCCTAGAGAATAAAATAGTGTGGTAGTTCCAATTTTTTATGTCGCATGATTTTACTGCCAAAATTTTTAGTAAAAAATACAAGTAAGTTAATTTTAGGGCACAAAAAAGCAATAAATTACCCTATTTTTTTCTGTAAAATATAAAAGATGAGGTTGCAGCGAGTAAATAGATATCCAACTTATCAAACCTTAAATTTGTGCGCTCGTGAAATGGCGACGAACTTCAGTAACCCTATATTTTCTATAGGTCGACACATTTAAAGCCCCTTATAGGTCACCAGTTTAGTGTTACAGAGGAGGTCTGATGCTTAAATTTGATCCCTAAATTTGTGCGCGCTCGTGAAATGGCGACGAACTTCAGTACCCTATATTTTCTATAGGTCGACACGTTTAAAGCCCCTTATAGGTCACCAGTTTAGTGTTACAGAGGAGGTCTGATGCTAGAATTATTGCTCTCATTCTGGCATGCTCAGTGATATGTGACATGTCTATCGCAATCAATGGTTTCATGTATAGGTGCCCCAGCATGTGCTTTTACATTTGTACGTGCGTATATGTGGGGGTGGGGGCCTCAATATTTTTTGGGGGAGATGGTATGTGCTGGCACTGTGTGCAAGCAGTCGGCAGCAGCTCTGGTGCTGAATGCTGCCGCCTAACAGGTGAGCCCGCTGCGTGCCCTCAGTAGAGCTAGCAGTAGAAAAAAAAACTACCTGCCCAATGCCTGGAACTACATGTCCTGGGCGTCGAGCGATAGGAATCCAACATCCCTGCAGACATTGTGTTTCTGAATAGCTAGCTGTAGAAGAGGACAGACCAGCCATTGACTCTAAGTGAAGTCGGTATTTGCAAACCAGAAAACCCCAGGTTTGGGAATCCCTAAAATCTTTAAAATGCATCAACAAGTAATGTACACACACGGTGCTTTTTTCATAATACATTCGCTGGGTTGCGCTTTATTTTTGTATTCTCATTTTAAGTAGAAAGATTTACTTTAGGAACTTTATATAATTGCTGCTGCTTACTATGCAAATGTTATTTAGTTTAGAATTTTAGTATAAATATTAAAAGAACCAAATAGTACAAATTGTAAACATAATCTAAGCATTTCCTAGATCCAAGTATTCCTTATATTGTCTAAGCATTTCTTAGATCAAAGTATTTATATTCACATTTCACTGTCTTTGGTATGGAAATAGATGTGTATAGGACTGAGCAGTACAAACATTATGAAAAGTAGAAATTTAAGGGAAAATTCAGGTTTGGTGTTTTCGGTCTGTAAACACATAGCCACTTGGCATGTCACAAATTAAAAAAAAAACCTTTCACCGTAAGCCTGGTAACGTCTAATTTGCCTCAAGTGACAGCAAAATGTCCATTCCTGCTGCAGGCGTACATCCCCTTTACTCCTCCAACATTAGGTGCAAGCTTCCAGCGGTCACTGGCCACTCCATAATGTCCACTTCTAAGCACAAAAGAAAGGAGGCCGCTCTCCAATTTAAAAAAAAAAAACCAAAAAACCCTTGTGTATATTGAAGCATTCCATGCACAAGCAGATCTATCTGTCCCACAAGCCACTAACGCATTTCACTCATTGCGGCACATATTTGTACCGAATTGACTTTAAGTGACTCTAAGTGACACAAGTTAGGGCTTGTGGGACAGGTGGATTGGCTTGTGCATAGAATACTTCAATTAATATACACAAGGTTTTTAATGGAGTGCGGCTTCTTTTCTTTTGTGCTCAGAAGTTGCTTCTTCTGATTTGAGGCTGTCATGGACCAACCTTGGGGTACATCAACAAGCCGGCTGGCCTGGGCTCACAGGGGTATTATGCACCATCCAGGACATGCCCACTATCTAAGGATGGTGAAGAGGAGCTATGATGTCCTCTTTTCCTGATCTTTGGAAAAGGGAGGGAAAAGTACCCAGCCTGGAGTTGGGCTTTAAAGACACTTGCAGTGTAAGGTGGGGATGGGATTTATTTAGCAAAGTAACCCCAGAACTGGATAACGGGCCCCCCTTTGGCACCATTTATTTACTAGTGATGCACTGAAATGAACATTCTGCACCAAAATAAAAAATTCAGGATACACTTGGCAGAAAACAGAAATGGACTGTTTTTAAATTATATTATTTTTATACATAATTGTATTCGACTTTTTAATTAATATCATAAATTTTAAATGAATATGAATTTAAAAAATACAATTCAGTAATGTAAAATACCTTTTATAGAAAGTAACACACAAAAATTGGATAGAAAATAAAATGAAATAGATATAAAAAACTTAAATAGACGAAGTCAGTGGGCCGCGGTGTTGCATCGAAGTCCATTGTCATTATCTGCACCTTTTTTTTTTTTTTTTTTTTTTTTTTTAATCATCTGCAAAACGCCAATAACTCTATTTTCGGTAGTTGATATATCTGTGCATCACTACATATTACCTATAGTTTGCCTGACCACCAAGCAGACCCTCCATGGTAGCACCTAAATTTCTAGGTAAAAAAATAAAAAATGTCACTCAGTCAAGGTGGATTTGATTTAAATCATAATTTTTAAAGAGCAACTGTCATCTCTGTCCCACAGTAGCTCTTCCTCTGACCCGCTGTTGACTCACCAACAGTCCCATTTCACTTTAATGGGACGACTGGTGATGCTGCAGTGATGCAACATGGTGAGGGACGAGCCTGCAGCAGGTGAGTGGATGCCCGCTAACAGGCGCTGCCATGATGGATCTAAAATGACAGGTGCTGTTTAAATGTAAGTAATCCGGCTCATTATAAAGTTAGAATCTTTAATTTTTGCAAACCAAATGAAGGTTTTCTTTTTAGAATAATAAGCTGTCAGGTTAGTAAAACAGCAATATCAGAACCGATTTTAGGTTAATAGGTTCATCAACCATAGCTGGAGAGCTACTCAAATTCTTTTATTTCATGTTTTTTTCTTAATGTGAAATTGTGTGAATGCAGCAATGTTATCGCTTGCAGAGCTTGGATTCATTGAATGAGTTTACCAAAAAATAAATATTGCAGAATATACAGCTTCATGCTACATAACTAAGCCCCATTTCATGCTGAATAAACTAAACTATTAATGTATCTTAAATAGGAAACTATCTTTAGATAGATTTTTACTCCAAAAGTATTTTATTAAAATAAATTTGATAAAAATCAAAACGTTCCAATTTAAATAAAAAAAAAAAATCCAGATTTTTTTTTTCCTTTTTTAAATCATGGATTTTTATCCACCCTGCAGCCAGTGTATTCCTCCAGTGACAGGTTTCTACAAAGATCTGGCTGGAGTCCTGAGAGTATCAAATATATTTATGTGTTAGTATTTTTAAATGAAACTTGCTTTTATCTGCAGATACTGCTTCTGGCTTGAAAATGGAACACAGTGGTTAGGTTTAATTATTCCTTTCAGATTGTTTTCCACCAGCCTAGGAAAACTGTTTTTTGGGGCGTATCCTGCAATCTCAGCAGTTGCTCACAAATGTTAATTTTTGCAGTTGTCTGGTAAAGAGAGACTAATGCAGGCCATAGATGGGGTTGAAATCTGGCGATTTTTCGGCCGACATTAAAATCGTCAGATATTCGTGCCATGTATGGGTAATTTTGTCTGTTTTTTGCTCGTTTGGTCATGCTGGAAAATTTTTGTTAAACGGCTGATTTTCATCTCATTGATGGTCCAGCTGAATGATAAATATATGCGCTTGTGCGGTGACCTGGAAAGAAAAGAATGTTCTCACGAATGAAATTTCTTTTCCGTAAGAAAAGTCAAACGTTCTACCCTGTCAACCAAACATCATTTAAACATACGTTGCTGATGTCTACTTCCGTAAGGTAACTTAGAGAGGGAGGGTTGCGAAGGTCATAAAACTTTAGTCATTTCCAGTTTGAGGTTATGAATTTCAAGACTTTATCCGCCGATTTTCGTAATAATTGGTAGATAAGTTGGCTTTCAGACCAACCGATATTTCGTTTATCGGGCGAAAAAGCGGGAGAATTTTAAACACATCTATCGCCTGCATTAGGAGAGATTGTACAGTTTGCATAAAAAATACTCATGAAACTAGGGCATAGCTTCTCATACATATATAATCTGTAAAAACAGTATGTGCTCTTGACCATTTTTCTGAATCTTTGACAGACATACCATATTTGCCAGCAACACGTCTTCCTTGCCAATAACTGACATAGCCAATTGCACAACTAGGCAGGACCGGTTTGGAGGCTTACATTTCTTCAATCCCGCCCCAATGATGAAGCTAGTGGAGGTAAGCTGTGCTATCTGGACCTTTGCGCTCTTGTGTGATAAATTTTGCAATGTCTGTCAATTAGGGATCTGCCAAAAGACAGGACTGTGGGATCTAATCTTTGTAGATCTGATGTCTGAGCATTATAATTGCTTATTAGTAGTGGATATTGTACATGGCACCGTAACCTTGATTCTGCTACAGATTTTGTCTGTGTTACTGCACAGCAACAGAACATGTCTTTACACAATGGCATAATTCTCTGTTTACATTGTATATAGAAGTCATTTGTACAATCAGTGTACAGTGGACAAAGTCGTTTTGACAAAGTAAAGTAGTATTAACCCTCAGCTTTTTTACTTTAACACATTGAGCACAATAAAAATAAACATTCTCCTCTAAACTATTGTTAAAATGCTTACCCCAGTGCTTGCCGTTTGCAACTTTCAATGCTGCTGACTCTTGCTCTCTCAGTGCTGCTTCCCTGAACTTCAAGTCTGTACAAGAAAGAATGGACAGTGCAGTCTGGAGTTAGTCTGATGCCCACTTAGGGAAGGGGAGGAGGAAGAAGGAACAGGGAAGTGCCTTGCCATCCTAGGCTACAGGGCTGGGTGTTTCTATTGATATACACTGTGTAGAGTCGCAGCATGTAAGGGTAACGCCATAGGTCGCTGCAAGAGAAAAGAGCCTCCCGTGAAACAGAAAACCTGGGGCAGCAGTCATGACGCCAGCGTAAACTGCAACATAGGCAAGAATTAAAAGAAAAACAAATTGCATATTCTGTAAGTGATCCAATCAGCTGCTGAAAGTGCTTAGAAAATATCATTTAATTGCTTAATATCGCTTTCATTGCTGAATTTATTGACAGGTTCCATCATGATCACCAAAACAATTTTTTAAAAATGATTTTTGTAGGCCTTGACACCTGTTCAGCTGCCATCTTAAAACAGAGCTAATCTCCCCAATACTGCAAGCTCTCTTTCTGGTGCTGACCTCTTCTTCTGGGTTTAGGGTCTTCAGCCATCACAATGCAGAGCTTCATGTACATTCTGAAGTATCTTCTGAGAAGAAAGAATGTTACCCCCCTTTCCCCATTGTCGACGACGTGTATCTGGTCCTACAGCCTCCTGGGAATCTTATTACATGTCCCAGGAGGCTGCAGGATCGGCACACACGGTTGGGGGGGTCTAGGGGTTGGGTCATCAGAACTAGCTGCATGCACCCGGAAGAGCCAGCAAACTGAAAAGATAGCGGCACGGAAGTTGCCATATGGCACCCAAATAGCGGATCACAGCAAGACAGCACTGGATTGGCTCTGTGGGTGAGCATGTGATTTGAACAGCACTACAGCATTGTGGGTAAGCAGGGGAAAAAAAAACAAGAGGTGTGGGGGGAGTTTAGTATTGCTATAAGTATGTGAAGTCCTCAGCTTCTAGAAGGGCAGATCTTTTTCTTTACCACCATAAATGTGTCTTTAGTAGTTGCTTACTTGTGAGCTTGCAGTGAGCACAGTTTAGTTAATTTTGCATATCTTAGAGCTTGGCCACACTTCAGCATGAGTCTGCAAGAATCCCTGTACTATGAATAGCCATGTATTTTGGCATCAAAAATCAGTGTTGGAAACGAGATATCATGAGAGCAGAGGTATTTTTAAGATTATCGCTTTGTTCTGCGCTGGAGTGCCAAGTCACTATATTGGAAAACTGGAAAGCTAGGCGGCTGTGAGAACTGACATTGCAATATCCTACTTTCTTTATTTTAGAAAATCTGGCAACAGTTTGTGGAAGTTCTTTAAAATGTTTTTTTTCACTTTTTGCAGTCAAATTTGAGAAAACCTCACTGAGTTATGTGTTCCCATTCACACAGCATGCCTAAAAAATTATTTTTTACTCTTTTAGATGTTTCTAAGGAGAAGGTGTCATGGCTGATTCTATGAATATCTATGAATATCTGGAAAGTATCACATTGGCTGTGTCCCCACACAGAGGAAGCTAGGGCTTCTCAATCGGGGTTCCTCCAAATATTGCTAGGGTTCCTTGAGCAATGAGCAATTTCTGCCTTTGTTCCCACACAGAAAAAGCCAGGGTTTCTCAATCAGGGTTCCATGGAACCCTAGGGTTCCTCCAAAGGTTGTTAGGAGTTCCTTGAGCAATGAGCAATTTCTACCTTTGTTCCCACACAGACAAAGCTAGGGTTTCTCAATCAGGGTTCCTCCAAAGGTTGCTAGGGGTTCCTTGAGCAAAGAGCAATTTCTGCCTTTGTCCCCACACAGATGAAGCCAGGGTTTCTCAATTAGGGTTCCTCCAAATGTTGCTTGGAGTTCCTTGCGCAAAGAGCAATTTCTGCTTTTCAGATAAGTGCCCACTGACACCATTCATCTTTTTAGCTATCTGTCAGTCTAGGTTCACCTATGCAGGTTGCGTTTGAGGCGTTTCTGCATTACGTTTTACGTTCTTGCACTGTGTTGTTTTTTTCTTTTTTTCTTGTTGCTAGGCAGATTTAAAATGCAAAATGCAGCAAAAACACATGTTTTTCTGCAGTGTTCCCATTGATGTCTATGAAACCAAATACGCAACGTTTTGCTTTAAAAAAAAGTCCATGACCCTTTCCAAAAAACGCACTGGGTGAAAACGCAGAGATGTGAACCTGTCCCATAGGAAATCATGTTAAATGGTCTGTACTGTGTTTCTGCAAAACACGGCAGAAAAACGCTTAGGCATGAACCTACGGTTAGGGGGGAATTCTTCCCAGTGACCATCACACTAATGTTTCATGAGTTGTAGATATAGTCCTTTTTAGCAGGGGTTCCCAGAGACCAGAAAGCCATTTCAAGGGTTCCTCTGTGTTGAAAAGGTTAAGGCTGGCCATACACTATAAACTAAAAATCTCAAGAAAATTGTAGACTTACCAAAAACCATATAATAGGAGGTCAAACATATGTAACACTTTCAATTGTATCCAATTAGGCAGGCCCTTGTGCTACATAGTTGAAGGTAAATCTAAAGGAAATTGGGCAGAAATTGGACAGAAAATTGTATAATGTATTGCCAGCCTTAGAGAGGCTAAGCTATCACTCATTACCATACAATGCAGTAGGGCTGTTCCTAAGTTTCTAACCCTTTGTTGGGACAGTCAGGGTTCAAATCTAGTTTACAGCTGAAAATTAAGAACTACAAAACATGGTACAGAGAGGGTTAATTATGCTACACATTACTCCACAGCCCCCTCCGTAACATCACAGAACAGGGAGCGTATGTTGTCCTGCTTCACACTGTTGCAGTACCAGTTTGCGGTGCGATTCTGCAGTGATTTTACACAGCTGCGATTTCTGTTCTGGCTAATTTTGTGACAGTAGAAGTATCTGGCACTGAAGTCACATTGCATTTGAACATTTTATGCGTTTTCACTGCCGTTTCAATTCAAGACTATGGGGCTCAAAAAATGCACTGCATCACACCAAAGACGCACAGGACCCTTGTGGAAATCGCATTGCGTTTGGAACGCATAGGTGTGAATGACCTCCACAGAAAGCCATGTTATCTTCCTTGATATGCAAATCAGTACATTCTGAAGCGCATCCAAAAATCAAATCAGCGTGAACCAGGGCATTTGGATTTTTAGTTATGATATGCTATGTTAGTGGTAAATAGTAACAAATAAAAAGTAGGTTTTATAATAATTTGACTGCAAATGTGGAAATACACTTTGAAGCTGAACTTGAGGCAGATATGAAAATGCAACAAATAATGCAGTTATGTGTTCATTAATGAATCATTACATATGTTTTTGAAGGCAACTAGAGCAGATACGTGAATTTGATTTGATATCTGCCTCCTGTTATCTCCTGTACAGCAGCGCAGCACACAGATTGGGAGAAGGTGGGCCAGCACTAGGAGAGAATCAGGTGTCATGCAGCGTAGGAGGAGAGAACATAGTGAGCAGAAGGATGGTCTTATCTGTTTGCTTCCAGTTCTCCTACACTGCTGAAGTACTACTTTTCAATGATTACGATTATTTTTTTTTTTTCTTTATCAAACTCTGCTTCTGATCTCTTCCACCTTTCTTGCAGCCACTTCCCTTCTATTCTATGCATGTACATAATAAATGTATGACATTTTTATTTTTAGGGTGGGTTTCCTGATGATGACAACAGTGAAATATGCCAGGGCAACGTGGTGAAACAGCCACTTGTAGAGAGCCATGTGACAAAAATAGAAACAAACCATCATCAAATAATAATAAAAAAATATATATATTATTTAAAAAAGAAGCAAAAAATGAAAAGTGTATCAACTTTTTCACTTTTTGCTTCTTTTTTAACCATTTCTATACCGGGCAATTTTACACCTTCCTGCCCAGGCCGTTTTTCTCTCTTTCGCTCTCACACTTTGAATGACAATTGCGCGGTCATACAACATTGTACCCAAACTAAAATGTTATCATTTTCTTCACACAACTAGAGCTTTCTCGTGGTGGTATTTAATCACCGCTGGGGTTTTTATTTTTTGCTAAATTAACAAAAAAAGACCAAAAATTTTGAAAAAAAAAAAAAAACACGTTTTTTTCTTTGTTTCTGTTATAAAAGTTTACAAATAAATAATTGTTCTTCATAAATTTAGGCCGAGATGTATTCTACTACATGTCTTTGGTGAAAATAACCCAAATTAGGATGTATTATTTAGTTTGTAGGAAAGTTATAAAGTTCACAAACTATGGTATAGATCTGAATATTGATCAATCCTGAAGTACTGACGGCCAATTTAATTTCTTGAGGTCCAAGAATGTCAGAACAGTACAGATATCCCCCAAATTACCCCTTTTTGCAGAGTAGACAGTCCGACGTATTTCATAAGAGGAATGGCGAGTTTTTTGAAGTTGTATTTTGTCATAATTTTTTGGAAAATGAAAAAATTAAAAAAATTATTTTCACTATTTTTTTTTTTACATACTGTCACCAGTGCAGTACAGCGTCTTCATATAACTGGCATGGCGGTGAACAGGGACACTGACTTTGGTGACAGTATGAAAAAAAAAAAAATATATATATTTTTTACATTTTTTTTAAGATTTTTTTTTCATATTTTACTATGTCCAAAGTACTACAATGGTACCATAGTAACATTGTACTACTTTGGGGAAGTGATCAGTATTTTTTTTTATTTTTTTTTTTTTTTACACAATTTGCTTATAGCAAAGAATTACTTTGCTATAAGCAAGCTTTTACCTGAATGAAATCGATTCATGCAGGGTTTTTTTTTTTTTTTTTTTTGTGCTTAGCTGTAATTTGGCCACAGCTAATCACATGACATGTGCATGTGACCTGCTGTGACCATTCACAGCTAGGCACTAGTATACAATGGATGGCATGAATGAAGCCATCCATTGTATACAACTGTCATGTGACCTGCTGTGATTGGTCACAGCAGGTCACATGGTACCGGCAACGGGGGTCGGTACTCAGATCTGTCATCGGCCGTGTCCGAGGTACACGGCCGGTGACAGATCGCGCGGCTCTGCAACCGCGCGAACTGCGCATGTGCGGGAGGACGCCAAATGGCGTGCACCCGGAAAGCTAGAGCATTTTTGCGGCCGCCAAACGGCTATAGGCTGGGCGGCTAATGGTTAATTAATGTATATATTTTTTTTAATTATTATTTGATGATGGTTTGTTGTGATTATTATTTGGTTAGAGCGCTACCTTTTTTCTATTTTTGTCACTTTTTACCTTGTTTGAGGTTTTACTTGCTTTTTTATTTAGATTTATTATATTTTTGGTTAATTAGATGTTTTTTAGTGGCGCTTTCCATACCCTTTACTAATTAGAGAGCCATGTGGCAGAGTGCTTTTGAGAGACCGGGACAGAGTTGTCACCCTATAACAGGAAATGTCATAGTGTGTATTACCTGAATGAATATTGCAGATTTTAAAATATAACATTTGCCTGGAGTTTAGCTTTCATGATAGAATTCACCCATTGTGTGGTTTAGAATTAGCCATTAATCAGAGTTTAGTGATGTTGTTTAATGATCAAGAAAATTAATACGTGTCTTCTATAGCAGAAAACACAAAAATGCAAAACCATCATAGATGTGTTATAAATACAAAAAAAAAAATTTCTGTTTATGTAGTACCTATCATTTTCTTGACTGTTGCAGAATATTCTATAAAATATATATAAACTATATATAATAAAACAAATGATATAAAAAGTTATTTTTTTAGCTGAATGTAGTAATCATTTGTTTACAGGTCTAATCTTTTCTTTAAGGTCATTAAGGCCCCTATGACCAGCCAGACAACTTTTGATTCACTCATCGATTTTAGCAAAGCACTTGGAAAGACGCCCGTGTCATGTAAGGTAGGGAAAAGCAAGATTATGACCCCGTTTTGTTATCCACTCTGGGATAGTCTTTGTTGTTTAGGAAGCACCCAAAACACAGGGTAACTAACAAAGTACATATTCAAAAACTTTACAAATGTCTTTAGAAAATTCAAAAATGTTTGTGTAGCTCAAGATATGACATGGACCAATTGTAAGGGACGTTCATGAGAATTTATCTGCATCATTCCTGCGTTGTCTTAGTGCACCTGAGCTCCCTCCCCTCTGCTGACAACGCAGTGGCTGAAGAGTTTTGAAGCGTGTCGGCAGAGCCTGATTGAGGTTCACAAACTTTAGCTCCCCGTCATGTATGCTCCCCTTGTGATTGACAGCAAGTAGTGGGCAGGTCCAAAGCCAATACACAGCCATCTATTGGCTATCAACTCCATTCACTGCCTGCTGTCAATCACAAGGAGCCCTGATGGAGAACTAATGTTTTAGCTTGCCCATCAAGCTTCAGCATCACTGGTTGCTAGGAGACTGTCAGCTGTGAAGCAAAGGAGGAGGTAGTGGCAGCAAGGATGCCATCTGCTACACATTGTACAGAGACAGGCACACTGCCTGTCTCTATATGCCAAGTTAGAATTGGTCTTACTTACCTTTAGTTTATTTATCTACAATCTTGGAGGCAATTCGTTTTGAATTTGGTGCAGTATTTGCAAAAGTGGTGCTTTCAGGAACTGCCTGAGGTCCCATTCACAACTGAGCGTTTTGTAGCTCAAAGCTCCAAAATGCTCCGGGAGGAAAAAAAAAAAAAAAAAAATTCTATGGAGATGGTTCACATTTTCACTCCAAGTCGCCTGAAGCTCAAAAAAGTTTTGGAGCTACTTTTGTAGCTCCATTCGGGCAGATTGATGCATTTTTGGCATGTTTTCATTCCCATAGAAATATATGGAAACGTTTGTTGCGCAACCAAGAGCGCTTTTCTAGCATGACAAAACATGGCAACAGTTGATATCACAGATGACACTTTTTTCCTCTGTTGGCTAATACAAGAACACCAGAACTCTAAAAGCTTGAAAACACCTGAACAAATCGCGCACAAACATTCGCAAATGTGTGAGAAAAACGCAACGCTCAGGTGTGAATGGGGCTTGAATCTGCCGCATGTGTTGGTAAAGCTACTGAAACTGGCGGCAAGGATTTTTTTTAATCTGGTACAGGACATTTTAAGGCCAGAAAAATATTGGTAATTCTCTATTGAGTAACACCCCCCTTCCCCAGTTCTTTTCTCTGTATTAATTTGAGTTCTGAGTCTCCAGAAATCATGCTGTCATTGGAAGGGCCAGCACTGTGAGCTATACAGGCACGATTGCATTGCATAGGGTTGCTCATTTATAGTCTATTGAGCAAGTTGAAGGCAGGGAGATGCCACAGGATGCTGAGAGCTGTGAACAGTGGTGTGACCTTGTGACTAAAGTTGATAAACATTTTGATATTTTGGACAGTTAAACTGGGCACACAGTATAAGAAAATTGGAAGAAAAATTTTATTTGACGACTGATTGGACAATTATCTGATCATTAGTATATTGGTTTCAACAGCTGCTTTTGACTGTTCAGATGAAAAAAAAAAAAAAAATGCAAGCTAGAACATTTTTATTGTACACGAACGCAGCCTCCGATTTCGCTCGATGTGTATAATTGCACGGAAATAATCAAGTAGGAAAAAATGTGCATGATCAGAAGCAAAGAACATGCTGGAAGAAGATGGCAATGCGAATAGAAATCGTACACAAGGAAGAACATTTTGCCTTTTTTTCTTTGAGAAGTATCGTACAAGTTAGTACCATCGTCTGGTTACATCATGATAAGCACCTTTTGTGGAAAATCGGACTGTCGTTCTTTCAATTTTCTCAGTGTGTACCCCACTTTAGACTATATGCATATGAGCGCGTTTGTCCATGCAGCATAAAGATGTGTTGTATTTTTGTTTTTCTGTGGATGTCCTAGAGCCGCATACATCTGACCTGAGACATGAATGAGTGAAGGAGGCTGTATACAGCTATTTACATATAGCAGCGCACGCTCATAGACATAATGCACCAAAAGCACCTTCGGTGCATTACATGTGCGTGTACTACTCTTTGCTGATAGCTGTGTACAGTCGCCTTCACTCATTAGGGCGGCTGTACACAGCTGTAGGACATCCGGAAACACAAAAATACACAGTGTCTTTGCACTGCATGGACAAATAATCTCATGTGCATACAGTCTAAACCTGTGTGGTCACAAATATTTATTTTGTATTTAACAATTTGAATGGTTATTGCCCTTCTAGCAACTTGTGTTGTGACTCTTACCCTCCAGTGAAGCCTGCTTTATTTCACATTTAAAATAGAGGCATGTGCTCCTAAGTAAGTTTTAACTGTTCATTAATGTGTGATTTGTACTTATTTCCAATTCAGGACACTCCTGGCTTCATTGTTAATCGCCTTCTGGTACCCTACCTGATGGAATCGGTCCGCCTTTATGAGCGAGGTAATCCAGTTTAAAAAGACACTAGTAAAGCTGGCTATTGATGATTTGTTTTTTTTTTCCTTTCAATCAATAGATTCCTCCATCCACACAAACAAGGTGGATGGAGGAATCCCCATTCTGGGACATTGTATCCTGACAGCGGATCTCGCTGTCAGAATAAACTGATCAGTGGCTGCAGCCAGTGATCGAAAGAAGTTTTCCAACATTACTATTTGCCAGAAGTCATTCTAGTGATTGACTTCTGTAGAATTGGAATGGCTACACATGGATCAAAAATCAGCCTGTCCCTCTTAACCTGGAAGAATCTCGATCCATGTATGGCCAGCTTGAGATGACCCTCCAGACACAGAACTCTAGCTAATATTACAACAGCAGAGTATGTGCGTTAACCCAACAGTGCACAATCCGCAATGTATGTGCATTAACCCAACAGTGCACAATCCGCAATGTATGTGCGTTAACCCAACAGTGCACAATCCGCAATGTATGTGCGTTAACCCAACAGTGCACAATCCGCAATGTATGTGCGTTAACCCAACAGTGCACAATCCGCAATGTATGTGCGTTAACCCAACAGCCAATCCGCAATGTATGTGCATTAACCCAACAGTGCACAATCCGCAATGTATGTGCGTTAACCCAACAGTGCACAATCCAATGTATGTGCAACCCAACAGTGCACAATCCGCAATGTATGCGTTAGCCCAACCCAAATCAGTGTGCGTTAACAACAGTGCACAATCCGCAATGTATGTGCGTTAACCCAACAGTGCTCAATCCGCAATGTATGTGCGTTAACCCAACAGTGCTCAGTCCGCAATGTATGTGCGTTAACCCAACAGTGCACAATCCGCAATGTATGTGCGTTAACCCAAGAGTGCTCAATCCGCAATGTATGTGCGTTAACCCAACAGTGCACAATCCGCAATGTATGTGCATTTACCTCTCCCCTATCAGCTCCAGCCAAAGTTAAACCCTTTATTTCCTGTCTGAAGTGTATGTATTCTGCTTCAAGAGTGTCCGGTCTCCCTGCATATAAGCATTAATTCCTAAGCACTCAGCCCCAGCTTAGGTGCATTTAAAAGCTCAGTGCCTACTCCTCTGCTCCTCAGCCTATGTGTATTATCTCCTCATTCTGCAGGTGTGATGGTCGTACATACTGGGCACATGAATAGCTGTGCGTGTAGCAGCCATTTGTTTTGCAAGTCTTCCATGTCAGAAGGCATAGCCACAGTGACCTTTCCCCCCTCCTTCCTTCAGTTTATAAAATACACAAACTTTTAGCTGATGCCAGGACCTTCTTATCAGAATCTGGGGGGGGGGGGGGGGGGGGGGGGGGGGGGGGGGGGGGGGGGGGGGGGGGATGCAGGACCTCTCATACCTATTAGACAAATCCACACTTAGGTCTGCAAAACCCTAATAAAAATGTCTGACTTGCCCGCTTGAGTGACTGGAGCTTTAACAGGTATCTGCAGCTCTTCCCCCCTGTCATAAATTCCATAGCAATACACATTCTGATAGTCTGGTTAGCAGCCAAGACTCTAAAACATCAGTATATTTAATAACTCATGAGATAATAGCACAACCAGAACAAGGACATATTTCTCTTTCTCTGTTAATTTGTAGTGTTTTAAGTCCTAACACCCCTATATTAGTGGATATGGGGAACCATTGGTACCCTGTGTCCCTCTTAGGTAAAGTAGACATCTGAAACCTGTCATATTTATATTCATTCCGGAGAAAATTTAACACTGGCCAATTATATGCATATTAGCAGGCTGTAAACTGTAGGTATTCAGAGATAATAATTCCTATAGAAAACTTTGTCTGGGTCATAAAGGTAGTGACATCCCAGCAACCACCCCTTAAACCAGATGATTGGTCAGATGCTCTCTGCCAACAACATTTTGACAGCTCATGTTTAACATCAAACCAAGCCACTACTCTATATGATAAATCTCTGAATATATATCCTGTTTGTGATGACAGTATGTGTACAGACTTTTATTTTAAAATTTATAATTGTTATTGCTAATCTTGTAAAAGTTTCCAACTTTTTGGTGGCAGTTTAACGAGTTATTGCTTTGTTAACTAAACCCAGTAACAATTGCTTTCAGTCTGTTAGCACCTAGATTGTGGTCCTGCAAGCTGGAAAATCTTTGTGCAGTGTGGGGTTGAGAGTGCTATTGTTGCATAAGTGACAGTGTGGTGTGAGGTTCACCAGTCTTTTGTCACAAGTTGGTGAAGAGGGCGGTGGTCAGATACTTGCGTTCATCACACCAAGAACCATTGCTTTTTTCTCAGCTATAGACTCCAGGCATATATTTAACTTAGCACCCTGTACCCAACTTAGGTAAGGTAACACCTCAGCACTCAGTATCCAGTATATGTGCTTTAACCTTTCAGTACCCACTCTTCTGCTTTTATTGCATTAATCCCTCTGCTGCTAGTACCCAGCACATGTGCATTTATTCCTCAGCAGCCAATCCCCAGCATATATGGGATAATGCAAAATTATTCAGTACAGTATGGCAAAATGAATTCTCGTCTCCACTGACTTTGAGTGGGAAGCTCATCTCCACTCTCCAACTTCCTACTTACAGTTCCTGGAATTAAAAAAAACCCTGGCCCATTTCCCATGTCCCCAGTACTCCACTTTTTTGGACTCCATGACATAGGCCCTGTTAACAACCTATGTACATTTTGTGGTCTCTTTTTAAGATCTACAGTATTTTTCTTGATTCTGTTGACTCATTTCCTTGTTTCAGCTTTAGTATGCTCCAAACTACCTTCACAGTCCTCACCACCTCCACACTGCTCCGTGCCTGGGTCACACATTCCCCACTCCTCTCCGGCACATACTGCCTACTACTGTTGCACAATCTGTACTCTTTTCCCGCACATACTGCCCGCTGTCGTACCATCCGTACTCTTATCCCGCACATACTGCCCGCTGTCGTACCATCCGTACTCTTCTCCCGCACATACTGCCCGCTGTCGTACCATCCGTACTCTTATCCCGCACATACTGCCCGCTGTCGTACCATCCGTACTCTTTATCCCGCACATACTGCCCGCTGTCGTACCATCCGTACTCTTCTCCCGCACATACTGCCCGCTGTCGTACCATCCGTACTCTTCTCCCGCACATACTGCCCGCTGTCGTACCATCCGTACTCTTCTCCCTCCCGCACATACTGCCCACTGTCGCACCATCCATACCAGGGGCAGACTGACAACTCATGGGGCCCCGGGCAATAGGGGATCATGGGGCCCCTGTGTCCTTGCCCAAACTTAAAAAAGCCTATGAAAAAGGTACCAGGGGCATCTCATGGGTCCCCCTACGGGCCCTCGAGTTTCCAAATGGTCAGTCCGCCCCTGACCTGTACTCTTCTGCACATACTGCTCCACTAAGACTTGTACATGATTTTTTTTTTAGAACTCTGCTGCCATCTAGTGTACACTTGGTGAACCACATCTTTCAATTTCTTTTAGCAATTGTTTTCATTTTTACCAGTGTGCTCATGCCACATTAAAATATAGTAATTATATGAAAGTAGAAAGTCTTGACACCTCTTCAGATGCAGATATCTCAGGGTACAATTGCGCAAAGTATGTTTTCTTGCATTAATTAGTGCACAAACTGTAGGTTATACTATACATATTTAATAATGCTCATGATATGGTTTTGGTTGTATTCAACTTGGAGCACAGGTAAAGTAGAAACCTAGGTAAACAGGTAATTACTCACAGCCATTTATATCCACAGTGCTTTAGGCACAAAGTGAGGCCAACTGGTATAACTCACAGATGCGTACAGACATTTTCCAGATCCTTACACCACAGCAGGTTGCTCTTGTGAGAGATGGGGGGAAAAACACAAAGGGCACTGGCCTTGTTATATATGCAAAGTTATTTACTGAAAATAAAAGGTGAATGAAACATTGCAAACATAAAAGTTCAATAGACATATCAAGATGATCACCAGACCAAATGTATAGAAGGAATGGTCAAACGACTACCATCACCAACCACATCTAATAGAATGTCTGTCAACAGCTACTGTTGAAAATGGCTGTTGCATTTCTGGGGCCCTACACTTTTTTCCAAAGCCTCTGGCTCTGATAAAAATGGAGAAGGGCCCCAGAAATACATCAGCCATTTTCAGCATTCCGCCATTCTTTTGTATGATAGTGATGGTTGCTGGTTGTTAAACTGTACTGTAGATGTGTTATATACTTACTGTTTAGTCTGCCATAAGATTCATAATTCTGTACAGTCAGTCTTGTGATTTATACACATTGCCACACCACACAGTCAGGCAGGTGACATGTTGTTCCCAAGTTTATCAAATCTCCTTCCCACATCACCTCCCCACATCTAGAATGTTCACTGGACAATGGATTTGCATTATCTCCTCTGTTCACTGAACTGTAAGGTTGAATCCAAAAGTTAGCAGCAGTGGCCTTAATGGCTCTACTATGTGACAGAGGTGTGGAAAGTACTGAAAAGTTAAGCAGAGTTATAGTTAAAACTTTAAACTTTTATGTATTTTGATGTCTAAAGTTCCAGTTTGAAGGGATTGTTCACTTATTAGTGAAGTTATATTCCCTGTGTTTGTCTTACCTTGTAATGATGTGCTCGCATTTTGTGGCTGCAGTTTGTAGTGTCATATCTGATCAATACCTGTATGTCCATATATTGATGCAGCTAGCTGGTCCCTATGCACCAGGGAGACAGGTCAGCTCCCTCTTCTGGGTTACACAGCATCCTGTGCATGCCTTGCCCTCCCTTCTGTGTTAAATCATAAGTGTAGGATTGCTAATGTGATCATCTCCCAACTGCAAGAGTGAGCTCCCTGTGTCTGGGAATGCTCTGCCTGCATGTGTCTTTGTCAGATTTATTTACTGTGTAGCTTTCATCTGCATTAGGACTAGACTGAGAGACCCTGGGTTTGTAGGATATGTCGTTTTTTCACTGTGAGGTCTAACATTCAAACAGTGATCATCACCTGTGCAGTGCCATGCTGCATGCCTCTTGATCAAACATAGACTGAAGCTGCTGACAAATGAATGTGAAGATTTAGTCTACTATAGGCTGCACATCTGTTGTAGGTGAAACACACAAGGTGTAGGTAGGAATGTTTACATTGTCTTTAGGTAACTTTTTACTGCAGCACTATTTCAATCCAATTTGCTTTTTTGCAGTATCTAACAGTTGCAATAACTAAAGAACTTGAACATGTAGGCGGCCACTGCTGACTTTTCATTCAGAAAATGTTAGTACCCTGGCTGTCATATTGTTGCTTTAGCTCTTATACTGCGTGGCTATTTTGGAACATGTATAGAGATGAGCAATTCTGATTCTTGTCAACTTTGATTTGTTATATGCTTGTCCTGATTCTATCTGTCAGAAGAATAAAAATTTGGCACAGTCAGACAAATATCTTCTAAAGGAGTCCAGCAGTAATAGCCCTTATGTATGTATATCTTATAATTGGTGTACTTCCAACACTTGTTTGATTTGTGCTTTTTTTTTTGCCTGTCAAATGCATGTTAAGAAATACTAAATTACCAAAATGAAATGCAGGTAAACATAAGGAAACACTAATGGAACGCTTATCCATATGCTATGGAAATGCCCCAAATTGGTAAAATATTGGTCCCATATTATAACAATGATCAACAAGACCTGGAGTCTTAACCCCTTGGCGCCGGCGCCTCCCGGCCCTTTAAGGGTTTCAGAAGCCAGGAGGTGGGGCGGGGTTTTAGGGTCATGTGACCGCCATGATTGGGAAAGGTCCCAATCGAAAGAGGAGATCGGGACCTTTCCATGAGTGCCGGACATGTGTGCTGGGAGCTTGCAGGGCACGTGCACTCAGCACATATTTTTTTCTCTAATTGCACGCAAATGTGCAGCCGCTCGGTATCTAGGCCCAGACGCTGGGAGGCCGCACATTTGTGTGCTGCTGGCGTGAAGAGATTAATGTACCATTAGATCCCAAGCTTTGTCTATTGGGAGTGTTTTTTGAGGAACTGTAAACTCCACATGTCTATATAGCTATCCTTAGAGTGCTGTTTATTGCATGGAAACTTATAGCTCAGAAATGGTTATCTCCCACACCTCCTTCCCATATTCAATGGATTAAAGCTGTTAATGATACTCTTGATTAGAGAAAAACTAGTTTAAACATAGAAGATGTGCCCAGAAATTTACAAAAGTCTGGAATGCCTGGTTGGGGACACCGGGATTAGCACCAGCACAATTAGTTAAGGACAGGCTGTTAAATGGTGGAATCCCATCCGGTCTACTATGAGATAATTATTGTCCCATCAACCCTTGAATAGGAAGTGGGGATATAGCTGTACACATGCAGTAAAACTCTGCTTTTGTCAAACGTTGAATTAGACTTTTTATCTACTATATTGCACGTGGATGAGCTGTGGAGGTTTGACTCTTGAGTTCAGTTCAGAAGGGTGTTTTTTTTAAATTGTTAAAAATCATTTTGGTTTTATATTTTGTGTTATTTTAATTCCCTTCTGTTTTTTCCCAGCCGGTTTTGAAATGTTTTTTTTTTTTTCTCTTTTTCAAAAAAAAAAAAAGGATCTGGAAAATGTTGTGGTCTATGTTTATTTCTTCAGTATACATAACTGTACCCCTTTTATATTAGAACGATGTAACTTGTTGACACTAACGCCACAATCTGTTGGAGATTGTGGTTGTATGATTATATGTATAGGTGGATCCATACTTCAATTAATAAAAAAACATAAGGAAACACTGTGTTTACTTATTAGAGAACACACTGCAAATCCATTCTGAAGACGGCTGTGTATGATGTAGGCTTTTATGTGCTTAGATAATTGCATTGTAAGTTGAATTGTTGTATGTTTATACCATCTACTGGTAACCTCTCTAATCTGTTTTTAGGACATGCATCTAAAGAAGACATCGACATTGCAATGAAATTGGGAGCTGGTTATCCAATGGGCCCTTTTGAACTGTTGGATTATGTTGGTCTTGACACTAGCAAATTCATCGTTGATGGTGTGTAAATGAATTCTTTCATCTTAAAACTAAACTGTAAAGTTCGGCTGGGTTTATTCACACAGACGGTATTACAGTGGCAAGCTAGGAAGGTGCAAAACCTTACTGTAATCTGTAAACAGTTGGTCACATGATCTGAAACTGGCTGAAGGACACTGACATTAGATTCCTTATTGTCACCAAACATGCTGGCTTCAAGTCATGCGAGGACCATAAGACCTTCTTTACACATAACAGGTAAGGTTTTGCACAGCTTCCTATTATCAGCCTGTATCTCTAACGCCTGCCTCTTTGATGAAGTCCTCATGCACACTTGATGTTTCCTCACACTGCTGATAACAGCTGTGTTAAAAACGCTGGTTTTTCAGCGTTTTTTGCATAGCATTTATCTGCGTTTTTTTAGCATTTGAGATGTTTCAGCTGAAAAACGCTAAAAACTCGCTCTTTGCTATTTGTTGCCTCTCACTTTCCAAGAATGCATCATCGCCACCATTATGAGAGCAGAGAAAGCAAAAGAGCATATAGAGAAGCTTCAGTAGCTCAGCAGGACACGGCGTAACTTCCTGTTTTGCACATGGTGCTGTAATCTGAGACACTAGGACTGTAATCTGAGACACTAGGACTGCAAAGGACAATGGGAAATGGGACTCAGCACGACACCGTGTCACTTCCTGTTTTGCACACGATGCTGTAATCTGAGACACTAGGACTGCAAAGGACAATGGGAAATGACTCAGCAGGACACGGTGTCACTACCTGTTTCGCACCCTGTGCTGTAATGTGAGGCACTAGGACTGCAATCTGAGACACTAGGCACTGCAATTTAAGACAAGGACAATGGGAAATGATTCAGCAGGACACGGTGCTACCACCTGTTTTGCACACGGTGCTGGACTGCAGAGGACAATGGGAAATGATTCAGCAGAAGCATGCAGTATGTCAACAAAGCCAAACAAAGAGAACAAAGCCAACAGAGCTGCAAATAAACTTTGGTATGATCTGGTTACATGTAGGACATGGAGAAGCAAGAGCATCCCAAACAAAAACTGGAAAAGCAGTAATAATTTTCCTTTTCCATAAAATCCAAGGTTTTTTTGTCACTTTAAAAACACTAAAAAAAAAAAAAGGCTGGTTTTGCGTTTTCTGGCGTTTTACTGCATTTCAGCATTTTTACAACTAAAAAGGTCCTCTAGAAACACACTAGTTTTGGGCTTTTTTTCCCAGCCAAAAAACATTGATTACAGTCTGTGTACATGGACACATAGGATAACATGCTGGGGGGTTTATTGGCTGTAGAAAAAAACATCAAATGCCAAAAACAGCCGCTGTAAAAACATCCAGTGTGCATGAGGACTAGATGTAGAATTACATTTACAGTTTAAGTCTGGTGAGAAAATACTTTGACTGGTTGTCATTTTACAAGTTGGAGGTCTAGTGAAGCACACACAAAATGCATATTAGAGTAGATATGCTGTTCTCTCCCCTCTAGTTAGCTGATAGATATCCCTGAAAGCATCCTAGCCATGGACTTTATTTGTCCATACCATGCAGGAAGCTTTGTAGGAGCTGCAAAAGGTGATTTGTAACTGGCTATAGAGTTTGCTGTGGCTGAATAAAGAGCAGAGTTAGGCAGCTACATATTTCTTCTATGCCATGCTCATCAATTGCTACATTATCTAGGATATGGAAGCTGAATTGTTGGATTTTTCTACTTTTTTTTTTTGTTATACTCTGAAATTGAAACGGGTTAAGCTAGTATTTTATGTTAATCATCCACACAAAATAGGCCACAGTGTTGAAGTAGGAACAAAATCTACATAATTCTTCAAATTTGTTTTAAAAATTCCAAAGTCTTGATTGCATGATTATTTATCTTAGTTGCTTGGAACTTTCACTTAAATATATAATAACATAGCCACAAATTACATAAATTCACTTTGTGTGCATCAAATGTCTTTGAAAGTTCAGATATTACTTTTATAAACTAGTGGTGACATCATCACTGAGCTGTACATAACCTAAAAAAAAACGAAAGGGGCGGATACAAGACCAGTCACCCTGCACTTGCAGAGAAAGCAGTAGTAGCCAGTCTTTATTGCAGGAAGTTTCTGCACAGAGGCAAAGTTTCACAATGGAAATACAGAAAGATTCAAGTAAAGAATAAGCATGCCACTTGAGTTCAGCTTTAACCACTTGCCTACCCTTATACCCCTTTCCTGCCCAGGCCAATTTTCAGCTTTCAGCGCTGTCGCACTTTTGTGACAATTGTGTGGTTATGCAACACTGTACCCATATGAAATATTTTTTTTTTTTTTTTTTTTTTTTTTTTTTTTTTTACACAAATAGAGCTTTCTTTTGGTGGTATTTAATCGCCGCTGAGTGTTTTATTTTTTGCACTATAAACAAAAAAAAGAGCAAAAAAATTTGAGAAAAAAAGACAGTTTTTTTTGTTTTTATTATAAAATTTTGCAAACGGGTAATTTTTCTCCTTCACTGATGTGCGTTGATGAGTCTGCACTGATAGGTGGCACGGATAGGCGGCACTGATAGGCAGCAGTGATGATGCTGCACTGAAATGCAACAAAGATGGGCACTAATATTCGGCACTAATGGGGGGGCACTGCTGGCCAGCACTGATGTGGAGAACTGCTGGGCATAGGTGGGTGGCACTACTAGGCACTGCTGGGCACAGGTGGGCAGCACTGCTGGGCACAGGTGGGCAGCACTGCTGGGCACTGATCATCAGTGCCGATCCGTCCTCTGACAATTGCCGGTTATCGGAAGTACTTTCCTCCCGCTATGACAGTGCGAGGAAAGTGCATCCGATAACCAGCAACTGCATTTACCGGTGATCTGCTGTGTCATTGGACACAGCTGATCATGTGGTAAAAGGCCGCTGTGATTGGCTTTTTACCACATCACGTGATCAGCTGTGTCCATAGGACACAGCGATTATGGAGATCACTGGGTGCACGCTCCCGGGAGGATGTGGGAGGGCGCGTTCTGGGAGGACATCATATTACGCTCTCCCAGGACTGGGCAATTGCACTGTAGCCATCATTCAGCTATAACGCAGTTGGCAAGTGGTTAAAGAGTAACTCCACTTTCGATGGAAAAAATTGCAAATAAGAAAAAAAAATAATATAGCGTACACAAGTACATCACAAGTTATATTGTAATTGAATGTTATTAGAAATTATCTTTCCTTTTCAATCTGCAGCTCTGTAATTTTTTGTAAAATGTAATATGACAACCTGGAGGTGTTCTGTAAACTGATGGTATACAAAAAGCCCCCTGAAAATGTAATTTCTTGATTGTGTGATTGGCTTATTTTCCCAGAAGTCTGCACTAAGATAGATATCAGATTTTGGGCATTCCCTGCAACAAAAATTTAATTATTGGTGAGATACTCCTAAAGGGAAATCACGTCTAAAGGGATGCAGACCCTGCCACTTTCCTCATAGCCCTGCAGGTGCAGCAGCTGATTGATAATTATAAAATCAGTCCCATTCACAGTCCTTTTGCACATGGACACAGACAAACAGCTATTTCTTGTTAAATTAATTGCAATGCATATCGGCAATTTTTTTTTTCTTTTTTTCCTCAACAAAAGTGGAGTTACTCTTTAAATGCTGTTTAGTCATGTGAAGTTAAGTGTCATATTATTCCAAAAGAAATACAGCCTCAAGTACAGGTAGTGAGAATCCAGCTGCTGCTCAGGTTTGTCTGGTTATAGCCAGCTTTATTGCGCTTCCAGCTTCAGAAAAATATAACCAGCATTTCCTGAATTTCAGAACTTTGTCAGCTTGTTCACAGCAATAGAACATAACAATTAAAAGAAATCTGAGCCTGTTGAGCAGGGAACTAGAGCTTGTGTCTTTCCCCCAAAGAGGAAAAAAAAGCAGTAATTCTTAATTGCAAAGCTGCCACCACGCAGTGTCTCTGCAAAGTAGCATGCTCTGCTTCCCTCAAGGTTTGCAAGACCCTGTGAAGGCAGCTGCTTCCTCCACCAAGAGCAATCACAACAGTGGCATAATTGCCATTACAGTTCCCCAGTTTATCAGGTGTGCATTGCATTGTAAAGCATGGTTTTGTAACATCACATGAGGATGTTTATCAACAAGGAAATAAAAACTGGAGAGGACTGAGGGCAAGATGGATGGGAGACAGTTACTGAGCAGATAGACTCCAGAGTTCAAGAAAATTGAAAGTGGGGCAGAGCTTTCAGCAGATCAGTGACTTTAATCCATTCAATTGTAGTTTTGTTTGGGCTTAAAGGAAATACTTCATGAAAAGAAATGATTCCTTTTGATAAGATCGATTGAAAACCTCCTTCATCCTCCACCATAGTCAACCTGCATGTGACACCTTGACTTGTAATTTGTCTTATATTTGTAAATCCCTGTTCAGCTAATGTATTCCACTTGTTTTTTTAGGTTGGTACCAGATGGAACCTGATAACCCACTGTTTGCTCCCAGCGAGTTGCTTAATAAACTGGTGGCTGAGAACAAGCTGGGAAAGAAGACTGGAGAAGGCTTTTATAAATACAGATAACTGGCTTTCCACTCTGCAGATGTGGCTTCTTTTTTTTTTTTGTTTTTTTAGAGGCTTTTCTGCTTGCCTCATAGTGGCTGTGACAGTTGCTTCTTGCTCACTGCCCATTTTTACCATAGTGGTCTTTTCTACACTCTACATGTCCAGACTAGTGCCTTAGAGCAAAGATTGTTCTGTTCAGGATGAAAAATCCTTTTGTACAGATGCTTTTCAGATATTGAAATGTCATAATCGAAGCAGAACCAATAAAAAGAAAATGGTAACTATTTCAATATGAGATCTTTTTATGTTTGTTGTTTGAAGGTGGAAAGTGTGAAAGTGACTAATAAACACTATCCTTTAGAGTAATCAATAATTTATCAAACTTTGTACTGGATTTTACCGTGTTGCCCCAAAAATAAGACACGGTCTTATATTTTTTTTGGTTAAAAAAAAAAAAAAATATCACACTAGGTTTTATTTTCGGGGTAGGTCTTATTTTTTTAATGTCCAGGTGTGGACAGGGGGTGCAGAGGTGAGCTGCAGGCAGTTGTGGATGAGGGTTACTATAGAGAAGGCCAGCTGATGACAGTTGTGAGCTGCAGTCAGGTGTTGCAGAGTTGGATTGACAGGTGAGTTTCAGATAGGGTGCAGAGATGAGCCACAGACTGCAGGGGCAAGCTGTGGCTGGGGGGGTGCAGAGGCTTGCTGTGGCCGAATGGTGCAGAAGCAGCTCAGCTCACCTCTGCACCTCCCAGCTGCATCTCACCTTTGCACCCTGTCTGCAACTAACCTGTCAATTTACCTCTGCAACACCAGACTGCAGCTCACCTTTGCACATCCCCCCTCCCCCTCCACTGCCCTCATATGGTTAGCTAGCTTTGCAAAACACAGCTGTCAGCGGCTGGCCCCTCTCTATAGTAACTCCCGTTTCGGGTCCTATCTTCCCACACAGTGCACCAAGCACACTCACCGCTCCTCCTCTTCCCCACTGGCTGGTGATCACCCCTGGGGCATCGGCTTCCATGCATTAGGCTACAGGATGAGATGCCCTGCCCGTAAACACACTGTGCCCGCAGTTATGTGTTCCTTCCATGTCCCACAGTGACTACAAAGGTAGGGAGGTTCTGTGGGAGTGGATGGTGCTGTCACTTACAAGAGGTACTGTCACTTGCAAACACAAAAGCCGCATGTCTTTCTTTAGAAGAGACAGTAGATATTAGTGTGCACAGGGCCAGTGGCAGAACAGCGGTCTGCTACGTTCCGGCTGAAAAAAAAGCCCTGATCACAACTAGGTCTTATACTTTAGCAATTTTCAAAAATAGTACTAGGTCTTATTTTCGGGGAAACGGTAATATTGATGTTGCTTTTTATTTAGCCCATACATTTTGCAAACTAATGCCCCAGCACAGTGACAGATGCATAAGGGTTCGTTTTGGAAGATGCCAGTACAGCCTCCACCATGCTTCTGTGTTGTGGAAGAAAATTTTAGGGACCATACACATGTTAATGCATGTTGATTTAGGCCAACCATGGGCTGCCAACACACTACAATACAGCCAAACCATGGACATTCACCATTTTTTCCTGACACCACAATGCATTGTGGGTGCTGCATTTCTGGTACATTGCCTGCTGCTGTAACAGTGCTTTGTGGTATGATTGAAAATAAATGACTTTTTACCATGCATTACCATAACACACCTGAATGGTCATTTAAAGGCTTTTCATACAACCATAAGATTACCATGCTTACTCTATGCAGGTAAGGTCTATGGTGCAAATTGAATGAGATGTTCATGATGCAAAGTTATAGTGCTATCTGCTATGCCAGCTTTCTCATTCACGTGTGTTGATTATGAAGAATGAAGCAATGCTCTTTAAGGGCTCGTTCACTTGTGTAAGAACGAAAAAAAAAAAACGTGCTAGGGCTCAGTTGGATGTCATAAAATATAGCAACTAGCACAAGATCATAATACATTGCATAATAAACATCACAAAACAATAGTTCAGCGCTAAGTTAAACTAAAATGTATGTGAAATACAATAATGTAATGCAAATATAGCAAACTCTTATGTGTCACCACAAATTGAAAAAATAAAACAAAAGAATCCAAATACGAAGTGAAAAACTGTCAATTCAGTGGTTCTTCGATTATGAGGGAAATGACAGATGTTGATACCAAACGCCATCAAACTTCTTAATGATAAACCACACCACACCTCGGTGTACAACAGAGGGAGGCTAACAGAATCATATGATCCAATTAAGAGTGGTCAATGTAAATGCACTTACAATGAAAAGATGACAACCAGGCACCTCATTTCATATAAACAACTCATCTCCTAGATTGTAAGCTCCAAGGAGCAGGGCCCTCCTATCCAGGGGCGGACTGACAACTCATGGGGCCCCCCAAATGGTCAGTCCTGCTCCTATCCCTCTTGTATTGAACTGTATTGTTGCTGTATTGTCTCCCTTTATATTGTAAAGCGCTGAGCAAACTGTTGGCGCTATATAAATCCTGTATAATAATAATAATAATGTTCTAGAATCCAAGATGGCCTCAGCGGGATCATGTATGTTTAGTGGCGTGTGTTCCTTCTCTGCCCTACTAGTTTTATCAAAGATGACGTGCTCCTGATGATGTCATCTTTGACTAAACTAGTAGGGCAGAGACAGAACATGAGCCCTACAATTTTGTGTTGGGCCGTGGGTTGGACACCCCTGTTATAGATCATACTATGGCATCTAGTTTTATAGTAGCACTTTATTCTACGTGCCATTCAATTTATATCCACTAGGGGGCATACAATACCATCAAGGCTGTAGAATTCCCTGTGCTCCAGTTTTCCCAAACCAAGACCAAGCTTGTTTTTGACATTTTCATGCTTCTGGTTATCAGCTGTGTGACACAGTATTGATGTTCCCTTTATTGTAAAGTGCCATATGAAAGTTAGGAGCTATTAATGTAAAATGTTCTGTTTATTACACACCACTTAATGGATTATATAGAAGGGCAGTTGATATGGGTCTGCTAATTAGATTTGTCAGCATAGATTTGAGCAGAGTTGAGAGTACAAACTGCAGAGCTTTGGGTATTCCTCCAGCTGTGAAGCAGACGTTGGAAACATTATAGGCCCGTGGTTTGGGAAAACTGGAGCACAGGGAATTCTACAGCCTTGATTCACCTATAGGGCTGTTTGATGTATAAATCACATATTGATGTGCAGCAGATTACAAGCATCACTCCAACACCCCTCTCATCTAAACCTCATGGGAGTGTATGTCTGGTGTTAATACCATAAGGGTGTCATTTACTGTATTTTAAAGAGATTTTGAGATCTATAATAATCAGATATAGAATGTGAAAGAAACGCCACTTTTGGTACCAAAAAAAAAATATACACACACACACGTCCATACATATTTGGACACAGGCACACTTTTAGTTTTTTTCAGGTATTGACAAAACATATTCAAGCTATAGTTCTATAATGGATATGGGCTGAAAGTGACACTCTCAGGATTAATTTGAGGGTCCAGTGAGAAACAGAAGTATTTGAACACCCTGCGATTTTGCAAGTTCTTCCACTTAGAGTGGGAATGCACCTACAATGTAAATTTCAGTCCCCTCCATGATTTCTGAGAGACAGAATTTAAAAAACAAATTCAGGCTGGAAAGTGGGAGAACTTGCAAAATCACAGGGTGTTCAAATACTTCTGTTCCTCACTGTATGTACATCCAAATTGGAGGAAGGGTTTAGAAATTACAGCTCTTAAGAGTAGCCAAACCTCCTTTTTCAAGGAACCAAAAGTAATTTGACAATTGAAACAAAAGCCGTTTCATGGCCAGGTGTGGGCTACACCTTCATTATTTCTTCATCAATTAAGCAGGTAAAAGGTCTGGAGTTGATTCTAAGTGTGGTATTTGCTGTGAACCTACATCATGTGTTCAAAGGAGCTCTCCATGCAAGTGAAACAGGCCATTGTAAGGCTTCAAAAGTGAAACAAATCCATCAGAGAGATAGCAACAACATTAGGAGTGGCCAAATCAACAGTTTGGTACATTCTGAGGAAATAAAAATATGCTGGTGAGCTCAGCAACATAAAAAGGCATGGATGTCCATGGAGGACAACAGTGATGAAGGATTGCAGGATTCTCTCTACGGTAAAGGAAAATCCATTCACAACATCCAGGCAAGTGAAGGACACTCTCCAGGAGGTGGGCGTATCGTATCATTGGAGTCAAAGTCTACAATCAAGAGAAAACTTCACGAGAGCAAATATAGAGGGTTCACCATAAGGTGCAAACCATTCATGAGCCTGAAGAATAGAAAAACCAGATTAGACTTTGCTAAAAAACATCTAAAAAGCCAGACAAGTTCTGGAAAAGCATTCTTTGGACAGATGAAACTAAGAGAAAGAGGAGCTGTGTATGTGAAGCTGAAAGTGCACTGAGAAAGGTAAGAGGAGAACCAGGAGAGAGCAGAGTCGTGGAGGCCAATGGAGTGGAGTTTACTGAGTTTACTCACGGAGGCCAATGGAGTGGAGTTTACTAAGGAGGAGTGGGTGTGTCAAAGGCAGCGAAAAAGGTCTAGGAGTATGAGTATGAAGTAATGGCCATTGGTTTTAGCAGTTAGTAGGTCATTAGTGAGTTTTAGCAGGGCAGTTTTACTAGAATGTTGTGGACAGAAGCCAGACTGTACAGGATTGAGAAGGTTGTGGCCGGTGAGATAGCAATTTATACGGTTGTGAACAAGGCACTTGAAAAGCTTGGAGGCAAACGAGAGCAGGGAGATGGGTCTTAAGTTTTTCAACAGGTGGGGTCCAGCGAGGATTTTTTTTTTCCAAATATGGGGGTAACCAGTGCATGTTTGAGCGGGGAGGGAAAGGTTAAAGATGTGGGTTAGAGAGTTTAGGATAGAGCAGGAAGGAGGCTGCAATAATCGTGAGGGGACAGGATCCAGGGAACAGGTGGCAAAGTGAGCCTTGTTAAGAAATTTGGCAACTTCCTCAGTGG